ACTCTCCCAAATTCTGTCTGTTACCCAGTTCTAAAGCTGATTCTCCATTTTCAGGTATGGTTACAAAAGTGAACTCCCTTCTAGGTATCACTGTCCTACCACTCCATTTTCTGCTCTTGTCACTCAAGTCCTTGAGTACTTTATAAAGGAAAGATAAGCTGAAAAGCCAACGTCAGATGGCCCCATCAGCTCCATCTATTGTTAGGGTCCCCTTTTCACATTGCAAGTAGATAGCATCACGACAGGAGAGGGTACATGCTGAGAAAGAAAGCCAGAGAGCCCAGGGGTGTGGCCAGCCTCTCTTCATAATAACCTACTTTCAAAAGACACTAAAGTAATGAGGTGTTAACTTCTTCCTGAGGGCCTTGCACCTGACCACCTCCCACCACGCCCCACCTCTCAGCCTCCCATCAGGTCACTGGGGATGCAGCCTGCAGCTCACAAATCCTCAGCAGGGAGCAGGGACAGTGACAGAGTGATGGGGATGCCCAAAAGGCACTGGGAGGAATGTGTAGTGAAGGGCTGCAATCATGTCTGCCATGGGGAGACCTTCAGAAACATAGCAGGATGATCATATCATGTCCAGATGTGTCCAACCCTTCAACACTGTGATGTGACAACAACATTTGCACGTGTGTTGAACCACATTCCTAGCTATACTGGAATGTGGCCCACGGGTCACAAGTTAGACACACTGGTGAGGCCCTATGATTATCCTGTACCTAGTGAAAAACATCACATTACCTGAAGCTGTGACTGTTTAACACCAGCCGGCTCAGGAATCACCTGGGAGATCTGTAACAGTGTAGACTGCTGTATCCCCCAGGATTTCCCTGGAGGGGACCAAGTTTGAGAGCTCCTGGTCCCAATGACCAGGATTAAAGTCCATTCTACTTCCTCCATTTCAAGCTGTTTCTTCCCAGCTTCCCAGGACAGAGCTGGCCCGGCAGCATGAAGAAAGGAGGAACTTGTATTTGGGCCTCACTTGACATCACCACCACAAACCAGGTCTCTGGTGCTGAAAGTCCTATTTCTGTTTGGAGAACTTTCCACGCTGTGCTGAGCCTCCAGTTTATAGGATGTGTGTGTGTGTGTGTCTAAAATCATGTGATTCTGTGGAATCTGACAGGACTGATCTCTTCTTTCCCTCATTGGCCCTCTCCCTCTTTATATGATAATATGAAAGGGGAACACAAAGTTTGTTTATATACAAACATCTGCCTCTGGCCCACACACCTCTAACGCACAGATATATCTCCCAGGAATTTAGAATAAATATGCTGTAGATATAGGCAGAGCTATCTTAATGAAAACCTTTATGAGGGAGTCATGTAGACATAGGTGGAGAGAGACAGGCATAGAGCACTGGATATGGACCTGTGTATAAGTCCCTGTGTACGTACACAGACGCATGTTGCAGATGTCACAAGCCCTGTGCAGAGTCCTGAGAATGCTAACAGCCACTGAAGTTTCCTGATTGCAGCCTTTGTTTTCTTTCTAAGGAGTTGGCGATTTCAGTGTATGGGAGTTCTCTGGAAACCCTGTGTACTTTTGTTGCTATGACTACTTTGCTGCCAACGACCCCACATCCATCCATGTCATCGTTTTCAGTCTAGAAGAACCCTATGAGATCCAGCTGAACCAAGTGATTTTCTGGCTCAGTTTCTTGAAGTCTCTGGTCCCAGTTGAAGAACCCATAGGTGAGCAAGGTCCTTCCTTCTTTTCCACTGTGATGTTTCTCTTGGGGTCCTCACGCTGGCCACACTCAGACCCCACAGAATGGGGATCCCAGCTGTGTTTTCCTCCCAGTCCTGAACCTCTCACCCCTGCTGCACTTCCTCAGCAAGTCATCATTGCTGAGTGCACAGTGGAGTCCTCCATCCATGGCTTCTGCTCCCTTCTGGAAAGTACTGGGCCATTCATCAGCAGGAGGGATTAACTCTCTATCTTCACCTCCACACAGCCCTTGTGAAAAGTCCTTGGTGGCGTGCCTCAGCACATTGGCTAGAGGAGACGGTGATGGCTTTGCCTCCACCTGGTTTCTCCCTGGTTCAGGGTGATGCTCAGCAGCCAGCTTGCTTCTACAAAAAGCCCAGACTTATCACATCAGCAGGACTGATCTGGAAGATATAGTTTTGCTTCTTTTTTCTCCTTTGTCACATCTCTTTAAAACACTTTGTGAGGAGTGGCTCTGTCAGTGTGAGTTGGAGACTGCTTGTCTTTGGGCTTTCTCCAGTGTGTGGCTGCATTCAGAAGGCTTTCTTTGTTTCTGTGAAAGCTGTCCCCGATTGCAAATGTCCCTCGTGCATGTTGCCTCTTTAAGGGAGGCCCTGAGAGCTGCTTTCTGTGCTGCAGTTTGCCCTGGACTCTGCTAAGAACTGTAGTGGAGGATCAGAGCCAGGGACATACTCCAGAGTGCTGCCGTCCAGTCTGTGGGCAGGTTGCATATCATCTGCACAGGCAGGCGGTCTAGGCATGAGGCCAACACATTCCCTCTGGGCCAGGAGAATCAGCCAGGGAGGAGATCAGACTTTCAAAGGGTGCACTTTCTCCCTCAGCATTTGGAGGCAAGCTGAAGAACCCGCTCCGAGTTGTCCTGGTGGCCACACATGCTGACATCATGAATATCCCCCGGCCTGCTGGAGGCGAGTTTGGATATGATAAGGATATATCCTTGCTGAAAGAGATCAGGAACAGGTGAGGGCCGCCCGCTGGTGGGATGGGGTGAGCATCTGAACTGGGAAACTGGGTCAGGTGAGAGGATGCAGCAAGGGACAAGTGGCCATGCTGGGGTGGGGTGGGGTGGAAGGAATTTTCATCTTTGATTGAACCTTTGTTGAATTTTTCATTTTCATCAAATCAATGAGTACACATGCAGTAAACCTTGCTAGACACAGAGACTACATGGTAAAAGGGCATAGCCTGCCCTCACCACCTCACCAAGCACCTCCACACAGAGGTGACTTCTGTTCTCCGGACTTACATGGTTAGCACTTTGATTAGTATTTCTTAACATGTAAGTTGCAGACACTCACTGGATTATGAAATTACTTAGGTTAATGTCCAGCTCCATAATGGGTTAGGGTGGGGTGGAATGGGACAGAACAGAATAGAAAAGATCAGGGTGCTTTTCTGTCAAGTATTTTATATAAGACCTTTGTTTCTCTTATAAAGGACTAGAGGTAAATATAACTTTTTACTTGGAATCTATTGGTAATTTTTCATTGCTATAATGATTTACCTGAAGTTGGGTAGCTAATAAAAAGGGGCACTTAGCTAAGAGCTTAGGAGGCAAGAAGTCTAACTCCTCTTTCATCAGTTCTTCTGAGGTCCCCTTGATCGTATCACTTCCTAGTGGGTGGCATCATGGTGGAAAGCATGTAAGGACAGGAATTCAGGGAGGGATTTGGGAGGTAGGCTCTCTTGAGACAGCACAGACCCCATGGAAGCTACAGTAATTCTTTGGCAAGGCAGTACTTCTGAGACTTTCGACCTTCAGTTAATCCTAACTTCTTAAAGACCCCATTAACACACATCACCTCACTGGGGACAGAGCCTCTATATCACAGGCATCCCTGGAGGACAGACCACATCCAAACCATAGCATATTCCAAGGCTCCATTAACAAGTTGAACTGGGGCTGGAGAGAGGGCTCAGTGGTTAAGGGCACTTGCCGCTCTTGCAGAGGTCCTGAGTTTGGATCCCAGCACCCACACAAGTAGCTCATAGTGGCTTGTGACTCCAGTTCTAGGGGATCCAATGCTCTCTTGTGACCTCTGTGGGCACCCAAACACAGGTGGCATACACACAGAGACAGATACACATAAATAAAAATAAAAATGAATCTTTAAAGCATAAAGTTTGAAGTTGCAGTTTTCTGTAACATGCTGGCACTCGTTGAATTGTCAATGAGAGCTGCAGTCTGTTTTCTTCCTGCTATGAAAAGAGGTCTTAGGTGAATATTTTTAGATGAGTGGTATAACTTCCTTGTTCTATTTGTGATCCTAGCCTTCCACCATCAGCAGTATTTCCTCTCCTCCCTCGGAAAGTGAACACTTAAGCCTTTGCATCAGGAGGCTCTGATGTCTTTCTACTGTCTCTTCCTCTACCTGTGCTGAAATCCCAGACTCCTGCTTACAAGACTGAAAGAGTACCCTGACTTCCCACACACTGCATCCAGAGGAACCAGCAGAGTTCACCCAACAGCAGGGACAGAGAGCTGCTTCAGTCACTAGGCCCTCTCCCTTTTCTTCCCATCAGCCTCTGGGGCTAGTAGGAGCTCAGCCCCTGCACGGGAAAACCTAAGGTTGAACCGGAGCTAATGTGGTCCCCCACTTTTGCCATAGGTTCGGGAATGACCTTCATGTCTCAAATAAGCTGTTTGTGCTGGATGCAGGGGCTTCTGGGTCCAAGGACATTAAGGTTCTTCGGAATCACCTGCAGGAAATACGGAGTCAGATTGTCTCGGTGAGTACACATGGAGGGACCTGGACTCTGCCATGGAGATGCCAGCATTGACCAAGGAGGTGGCCCCACTGTACTGCCCTCACTTTGGTTTGTTTTCAGGGGGACAGGTTGACAGTAGGAGGCAGAACAAAGGTCTGCGTGCAAGTGATGTTATCCTGTTACTCTGAGGGAGGCAGGAAGGTTGGAGACGAGAGCTGTTGTGGGCAACAGTGGACCACTTCAGAGTATATCAAGCTCTTACAGTGTTTCTTGACTTCTTTAAATATAACATTTCTTTTTACAAATTACAACAGCAATTCTAATCTGCTTTATTTTAGTATGTGTAACAAATTCAGAAAAGAAAAATAGTCACTAACAAAATTTACTGAAGGATGTGTGCTAACAGATGAGAACATACTAGATTAGACGGTGTTCTCAATGCAGGTAAAATAAGGAGTGTTACATTTTTCCAATGTAATACATTTCTACCCAGAATCTAAATGGGATGGAGGGCATTGGGATTTTCACCTTGAAATGGAAATGGAAGAAGAAAATAGGTTTCACAGGCTTTATAACTAAAACAGTTAAGAGCAGCTTAGATGGTGTCCCCAGAGATCACAGTGTCCTCAGACATTTACCAGCAAACAAAGAAGCTGAGCCGAAGAGGTAGCTGAGTCTGATTGTGTTCCCCGTGCGCAAACATGAAGGCCCGAGTTTGGATCCCCAGAACGCTCACAACAGCTAAGCATGTCGGGGCACACCTGTAGCTCCAGCACGGGAGGATCCAAGAAGCTTGCTGGTCAGCTACTTTAGTCAGTCAGTGAGTCCAGGGTGGGTGAGGGACCCTGTGTCAAAAATAAGGTGGAGAGTGTTTGAGGAAGACAGTAGGCATGCAGGCTTACACATGTGCACATGCATTGTGTGCACACACACATACACATACACATATCAGAAAAGGGAGGGATGAAGAAAAGATGTTATTTCAGTTTAATAGGGAAAATGGTTATTTAATAAACCAGCACCATGGTTATTTGCTTGGAATGAAATAAGTTGGATTATCCAACCCATGGAATAGCCCCAAAGTGCATGGATTAAAGCTTATAAATTTACAAATGTAGAACAGTAAGTATCATGAATGGGAATTTTGGAGAATGTATTTTTAAAATAATTTGGCACTGAAGAATCCTTCTAAAAGTTTTCAAAGGAATTATACCGCTAGGTTAGTGATGGGCCCTGAGACTGAGCCTGTAAAGCGCTGACTCTGTGTATGTGCAGCATGAACAATGTCTCTCCTGGGCTCCGAGAGCTTCACAGCTGTGCAGTGGCTAACTTCTCCTACCTGCTTGTCTAGGGCTGCCCTCCCATGACTCACCTGTGTGAGAAGATCATCTCGACCCTGCCCTCCTGGCGGAAGCTCAACGGGCCAAACCAGCTCATGTCACTGCAGCAGTTTGTGTACGATGTGCAGGACCAGCTGAACCCCCTGGCCTCTGAGGATGACCTCAGGCGCATTGCACAGCAGCTGCACAGCACAGGCGAGGTGAGCATGCCTGAGGGTGGGTGAGCTCCAGCTGGCAGAGGAGAAAAGACCCTGCACCACACGAGGCTCTCCTCACCTTGCCCAGTCACACAGAATTCCTGCTCTCTGCTTCTCCTTCACCTTAATGTTACCAGTGGTTGGAGTCTGTGTTGGTTTTATGTGGCAGCTCAATGTTACTCATTAAGTGGCGCTATTACCGTGGGAGAAAAGCCACGAGGCACAACAAAACCCACTATCAGAGTTTTATTAGAAGAAGGGAGGACAGGAAAGAATGTGATCAGGCCTGTGGAAGACATGTGCAGGGAGTGGGGGGAGAAGAAGGGGGAGCAGTCTGTGACCCGATTTTTATGGATTCCCCTGCACATGCTCATATGGGCTCATAGAGCTACGCCACGCATGCGCACTGATTGAGCGATCACGCGACCATGCAGCGCACAGATTACGTAGGACGTAAAGCCCTGAAATGACTAAACATCTGAACAGCGCGTGTGTAGTCATGTAGCTGGGGGAGTGGCCAGGAATTCCAACAGTCTGGGCCTGGGGTTTCTAGGTTTTGAGCCTCTTTTTCAAGGACTTGAACTAAAGACTTGCCTGGTTTACACAATTTCAAGATTTTTTTTTTTTTTTTTTTCAAAGCAAAGCAGTAGTGCAGATCAGAAAGAAATACACTGACCAGAGTGACAGCAGGTCACATAGGTGAAAGTGTTCAGGAGCCTTGTGCTTCACATCAAGGCTTTATGAGGCCTAAAAGAGAAAGGGCAGGCTTGGGAGGTTCTCTATTTTAATTGACAGGTTTAGGTTATGTAAGCCTTTGCTTGATGTGATGAATATCCTTTCCCATGGTGCATCTGATTTTTGTCATATGCACACCTAATTATGCATAAGCATAGCATGATAAATAAGGGTTTTTCCCTGAAAGTTTATTTATAGGACACATTTATTTTCCTTATTGCTACTGTGCCAAGACTAGTTCAGGCTGGATCTGGCTCTCCTACTACTATTCATTGATATGACTAGATTGGATAGAATCTATATGTTTGATGGTTGTTAAAAGGAGAAACTTATTCCATTGTTCAGTGTGTGTGTGTGTGTGTGTGTGTGTCTGTGTGTTTGTAGCTTAATGGAGGTTGAAGTCCTAGGATGTTAACAGGCTTCTAGGTCCATTGTTTGGAGTGTGATGTGTGAGCATAGTACTTCAGGATTGGGCCTCAGGATACCAGTTGCACTTTCAGAAGTCATATCAGGTAGAAGCAACTATCCCTACTCCTTATCAACAGCTGGTCTGTTTTCTTTGGTTTGCTGTTGTTGTTAGTTACTCTTGTCCTAGGTAACTGGGTCTCCATTGCCCCCTCAGCCACCCACTACTTTTCTGCTCTTCCTGGCAGCCTTAGGCTGGCTGCTCTGAGGGAATTGAGAAGCCCTGGCTCCGTAAATGGTCCTGGGTTGACAAATACTGAGAAAAGCCCATGAGGTATCCTCATGGACAGTGTCTGTGGACAAGAAGACACTCTGATGTGCAGTGTCCTTTAGTCAGGACCACATTTAAAGACCCTCTCAGCAAGCAACACCTACCAGAAATGACAGAAATTGGTTCTTGATTGTGTGACCTTTAGCCCAGTATGGAAAATGTTCTCACTGCATCCCGAGTGCCTGTCCTCAGAACACGCACAGCCTTTTACCTCCTCACTCCTATGAAACAGTGGTCACATGAGCTAGGCTGGGTCGAGAGCAACAGTGGTGATCATTAACACTTAGAGTCATCTGAGAATATTGAAAACAGAGCTGGGTTCATTGGTTTTGTACGCCATGTCAAGGCTTGCATTTGTCTGAGTTGTGTATTTTTTAAACTAATACTGAATAAAGAGCTAGTGGCCCAGAAGGACCTCAAACAGTAATGCCAGCCTTTGAACTCTCAGTAAACTGCCAACTGATTGGCTGACTGACTAGCATACTGTAAAGTAACTGAATGCAGGGAAAAGGACAGGAACAGGGCAAAGGCATTTAGACATTTAGATAGGGCGTCTCCCCCTAACCCTCATCCCCCCCCCACCCCTGACCCCCACCCTCACCCGCCCCCCGCGCACGCCAAAATAAACTTTCTCCTTTGATAGGATTCTCTTACCTCCTAGTATTTGACCAGAAATTTTCTGAGTCATGATGTGGGATCCCCTTAGTTTCATATCATATCCCGTCTTCCCTGGAGCTTGAGACTTTAGGAAATGAAGACTGGGAGAAAGGGAAAAGGAAAGAGAAGCTCAGTGACGTGGGCCAGTTCTGTGCAGCTGCAACCTTCTTTACGAACCATTAGCTCCTTAGTTTCCTCCTCCATGGGTCAAGCTTTTTTGTCTCGACCCTAAAGAAATAACAACAATTAGTTAGTATGAAATGGTAAAGGGGTCTTCTCAGTGCCCTGTTGGAAATGGACTGTCTCCTCTGGAGAAGTTAAGTCTGAGGCTCAAATATGAAAGCAGTGAGAAGCCTAAGCTACACTGGGGCAGTAGAGGCCCATGGCCAGCAGGTGGAGCCAGAGGCCCCTGCAATGAAAACCTACCTGGGAACACTGTTATTCATAGAATATCCTTAAAGGGTCCAGAAGGAAAAAGTGATTTCTGGCTTTGGTTTGTTTTCGTTTTACATTTTTTTCTCCAACTTTTGGGCTTTTAAAGAAATGGACACACTGGTCAATATCTGGTATCATTCTGTCCCCTCTTTCAGTTGAAGGGTTATCATAGGGACAAACAATATATATAAAGTTTTTTTGTTTTTTTAATGTGTCTTTAAACTTTATATTGCATTAATATGTTAGTTACAATATTCTGAACCTTTTTAAAGAAAATTCCATCACCATGGAAGCTAGGTATCATGGGATATGCTTGTAATCCCAGCACTCAGAGAGCTGAGACAAGAAAATGAAGAATTGAAGTCCAGCCTGGACCACATAGTGACCTCTTGTCTCAGACAAACAAAACATAGCACACGAAAACTACATATTCTCAACTGACCTTGACCGAGTCTTTACATTTTGGCTCCTCTGCCTCCTTTCTCTTACCTTTTAAAAATTTATTTTGCAGACATTGCTATATTTTACTGTAAATCGTTGAGTGTCTCTAAAGACAGGGCTGTTCCCACACAAAGCTCAGTAAAACACATGCTCACAGTCCAGAAATACAACCCCGATTTAAGGCAGTGGCCAAGTTTATTGTCTTCATTCAAGGGTTTCTGTTTGCCCTGCTAAACTCTTTTGATAGTTCCCTTTATTGAGCTGTGGCTTTTTCTAGACCCAGATTCCATCAGAGCCAATCTTTTTGCTGTCTTGTCTCGCTCCCTTTCCTTGTCTTCTTCACTGTTTGTTTATTGCTTTGGCTTGTTGTTGCTTTTGTCCCTGTCTTTACATACTTTTGACTTTTACTTCCATGGGAATTGCTTCTGAGAAGCTCTCCTCTGATATTCTGGAACCAGCTGAGGGCAGTGGTTAGGTTTGGTGTTAGAGATAGAGCCACGTCTCAGAGTGTCTCCTTGGGGATTCCCTGCTGAGCTCTGGGTAATTAAGTGCCTCTGGCCTGGGTGCCCTTTCCCTCTGGTGACTCTGAGTTGTCGCTTCTGGCAGATCAACATCATGCAGAGTGAGACGGTTCAGGATGTGTTGCTGCTGGACCCCCGATGGCTCTGCACCAACGTCCTGGGGAAGCTGCTCTCTGTGGAGACACCTCGGGCCCTACACCATTATCGGGGCCGTTATACCGTGGAAGACATCCAACGCTTGGTTCCCGACAGTGACGTGGAGGAGCTGCTGCAGATCCTGGATGCTATGGACATCTGCGCCCGGGACCTGAGTAGTGGGACTATGGTGGATGTTCCTGCTCTGATCAAAACAGATAGCCTGCAGCGCTCCTGGGCCGATGAGGAGGATGAGGTGATGGTGTACGGCGGGGTGCGAATCGTCCCTGTGGAGCACCTCACTCCCTTCCCCTGTGGCATCTTTCACAAAGTTCAGGTTAACCTGTGCCGGTGGATTCACCAGCAGAGTGCCGAGGGTGACGCAGACATCCGTCTGTGGGTGAGTGGCTGCAGAGTCGCAAACCGAGGGGCTGAGCTACTGGTACTGCTGGTCAATCACGGCCAGGGCATCGAGGTTCAGGTGCGCGGGCTGGAGACAGAGAAGATCAAGTGCTGCCTGCTGTTAGACTCGGTATGCAGCACCATCGAGAATGTCATGGCCACCACCTTGCCAGGGCTGCTGACGGTGAAGCACTACCTGAGCCCCCAGCAGCTGCGGGAACACCATGAACCAGTCATGGTCTACCAGCCCCGGGACTTCTTCCGTGCTCAGACCCTGAAAGAGAGCTCCCTTACCAACACCATGGGAGGGTACAAGGAGAGCTTCAGCAGCATCACGTGCTTTGGGTGTCACGATGTCTACTCACAGGCCAGCCTCGGCATGGACATCCATGCATCAGACCTGAGTCTGCTGACCCGGAGGAAACTGAGTCGTCTGCTTGACCCACCCGACCCCATGGGGAAGGACTGGTGCCTTCTGGCCATGAACTTGGGCCTCCCAGACATGGTGGCCAAGCACAACATCAATACCAGGGCTCCTAGGGATTTTCTCCCGAGCCCAGTGCATGCCTTGCTACAGGAATGGACCTCCTACCCTGAGAGTACAGTGGGCATCCTCATATCCAAACTTCGGGAGCTGGGGCGTCGAGATGCTGCGGACTTTTTACTGAAGGCCTCCTCTGTGTTCAAGATCAACCTTGATGGCAATGGCCAGGAGGCCTATGCCTCAAGCTGTAACAGTGGCACCTCCTACAATTCCATTAGCTCAGTGGTGTCCCGGTGAGGGCAGCCTTGGCTTGGGCAGGGTCTTTATGGACAGAGATGTAAGGGCAGTGGGGAGGGGGCAACCCATTCGTTTCAGTGCAGATCCGCATACATTCCTTCTGCTCCTGGAGACGCCGCCCTCCATCCCACCCTCTACCCTGTTCCTTGCTTCTCAGCCTCCATTTCCCTCCCTCTCACGCATCCACTGGTCAAAAGCAAACCATGTCCTTCGCTTTGGCCACTTGGGAAGCTAGTGCCCCCCTTGTCAGTGTTTTGGACTCCATCTCTCGTCCTCTAATACCTTGCTTCTTGCTGATAATTTTATTAGAATTCCAAACTTTTCAATGAAAATATTTTAAAGTCCCTTATTGATTATCCTTAAAAAAAAAAAAAGAACACACAATGTGTATTTCTTACCCTTTTCTCTGCTGTACCAGCTCCTCAGCTTATCTCTTTTATATTTGTAGGAGAGACTCCCATGCTTGGACCCCACTGTATGATTTATAAACAGACAATATGTGAGTGCCTTTTGCAGAAGAGGGTGTGTTGAAATCATCTGAGTCAGCCCGGAGCTGTCACCAAGGAAACGCTACCTCTCTGTCCCTTGCTGTGTGCTGATCATCGCCAGAGGTGCTTCACTCTGAGTTGTTGGTTTTGGTTTTTTTTTTTTTTTTTTTTCCTTCCAGGGAGGGGGCTCTGTGTTTCATTTGGCAAGGAAAGAGGAAAAAGGAATCCTCCCCCAGAGTGTTCATGGCCAGTGTTGCTGTAAGAAGACATTCTTTTAGTTGCTTTTGTCAAAACATCCATGTAAACATGCACATGAAACCTACAGACTGTCATGCCTCATCTCTCCCTCCCATCTCAGGTAGAAGGTTGACACAGTGTAGGGTTATGGAGACCCGTGTTAAGAATTTCGAAGACCCCCAACTCATACTCTGTGGCAGTCCATTGTTGTTGGTGCATAGCAGATGGGCTCTATGTTTAGATCCTGGTTTGATCACTTCCTGTACTTGAAGTCTGAAAGAGAGAAAATAGAGGAAACAAGTTTTCTTGGGGTGTTTGAGATTGTGATTGAATTTTACATCGATATGAGGGAACATGTTTTAATTCTGTCCTGAGAAGCATGTAATGTTACCATATCATCTGTACATATATATATGCACTATGTATATACATATATATTAATACTGGTATTTTTACTTAATCTATAAGATGTCGTAAAAGAATTAAGTTTGTTTTTTTTTCTTTGTTTTATAAATAAACTGTTGCGTATTGCATTTGATTGGTTACTCTTTGATTCAAAAGAAGCTGTTCTCTCTGTTAAGTTTCCACTCCCAGGGTTCTGCACCACAGCATCCACCAGTCTAGAATCCAGATAATCTTTAAAGCAATCTTCAGCACTCAGAAAGCACTACACTTTCTCTAGATGCTTCTTTATTTATAAAATTAGATGACATGGTCCTCAGTCAGAAAGGAGGTCCTTGTCTTCAGTGAATCCTCTGGCCAGAGACTGAACCAGAAAGATGCCCTGAAAAGCTGTGTTAAGGAGTATTCATCATCTTTTTGCAGTAGTTGGCATCTGACATGTTTCCCCAAAGGTCCATAAAGGTTTAGGACTCCATCCAGTACTATTGGAAGATGCTGAAGCCATTAGGCTGGGCTTAACCACATGTGTAGGCACATGCCTGGAATCCATCCACTTAAGGGGTACAGGCAGGAGGATCAGAAGTTCAAAGTCCACCTTGGATACATAATGAGTTCGAGGCCAGCTTGGGTTACATGAAATCCTTTCTCAAAGAGGTGGGAGGAGGGGCTGGAAGATAGTTGAATGAGCAAGAAAGTTTGTTCCACAATCATGATGACCTGAGTATGAATCCCTACCCATGTCAAAACCTAACCCCAGCATTTGGAGTCAGGGATAGGTGCTTTCTACATGTGCCCGGTTATGGTCTGCCTTCTTAGCACAAGTCCAAAGCAGTGGAGTCAACTGGCAATGAACCCAAACAAATCTCCAAAATAAAACTTTACTCTGTGTAAGTTGAGTATCTTGGGTATTTGTTATGGTAACAGAAAACTGACTGACACACACCTTTATAGGCAGGAAGGGATCCCTGGGAAACTCCTGGAATAGCTCAGTAGAGGACTTAGTTATTGTCCCCAATTTGCCCCATTGATTGCTTGTTAGTGACCATGTGTTCCCAGGTCTTAGTCAGAAGGGAGGGAGACTATGTATGGGAGTGGAAAGGTCAGGAGAGAGGCCATTAGCACTTACAGTGCAACTTGGGCCCTGGCCTGGCCTGACCAAAGGCCAGTCACTCTCAAGTGTCGACACCAGAGTGAGGGACACTGCCAGGCATCTGACATGTTTCCCCATGTCAGGGAAACATGAAGGAGGCTTCAATGACAGCCCACAGCTGCCTTCTCATAAGGAGTACAGAGTGGGAACCAGGCTATCTTTTTGGAAGATGCCATCTTGTTCCATCAGAACCACAGAATTTACAAATAAAGTCAACTTAGAGATGAACTATTTCCGACACGCTCCAGGATCTGGAAGTCATGGAATGAAGAGAATTAGACAAAGTGGTACACTTGAGTCAGTCATAACTTTGGCTTAGATCAGGTCATCTAACCACAGGTGGGCCTTTACATTGGCTCTGCCTTGTTGATTCATTTTT